ACAACCTTCCGATTAGGGGACGAACCGCTCCGCCTCTGAGCCACAGCTGCCCCTATACCAGCCACATATACACCTTTCACTACAGTTTCAATGTCTGACAGAATCCATTCACATGTTAAGGCAATAAAAATTGTATGGTATTTATCAAAGGCAAACTCAGTATGGAAAGATAGGGCTGTCGGCAACAGCAGCCACACAACTTGGGCCCAAAACTGCTTCTGTGGTTCAGACTAGGGTTGGGCTCGCACAGATATTTCTGGGCTCGGGTAGAGTCAGGCCTGACTTTTTGGGCCCAATCAATTATCATCATTATAATTATTATTATTATTATTATTTGCAAACAGTACCTGACAAATCCTATTCATGCTGCCTTTAAAGACTGAAGCGATCTAAAAATTGGTGAAGGTGTTGCTTGGTTGCATGTCCTGCTTTAGTGTTTGTCTGAGATAATGACTGACAGCAAGTGTAGAGGATTACAGATGTGGGTCACGTTACAGACCTTGTCCCCCAACTGCTCTGTCAGAGCTCCTGGTTGGTCCTTGCGGCTACGTTTTGCTTTCCGTCTCTGAGGTTTTGGTTGGGACTCTGCCTCAGACTCTGACCACTCAGGGGAAGTCGCTGCTTCCTCAGGCTCCACCTCCAGCTGTTTTGTGATCCGGATCCTGACAGACAAAGACAACTAGTATGCATATAGCAGAGGTCTACTAAAGCTACAGGCAATAGTGTGTCATTGGGAGCAGATTCTACAGATTTTCATTCACCCCCCCACAGCAGTGTTTCTAACCTGCGGTGTCCCATGACGATCATCCTCAGCTTGTCTCCCAGGTCCTGCATCTCATGAATCTGAACAAAAGTTCCTGTAGAGTAGATGGCATCTAGAGACTCCACCACATCTGACTCATTACTGCAAGAGATAGACAAACTCATTACTGAGAAAAAACACGCATGGACAACAATGATACACATCAGAAGGATCACATCAGATACCAATGATGGCTGAGACATCTAATAGTAATTCATAGACCACATAAGTCCTTCTTCTGTTGGGTAGACCAATATTTAGAGACAAAAAAGACATCTAATGAACCCCCACTAATCTCACTGACAAATACATTGGATTCCTGAAGCAGCTTCAAAATAAAGGTTTCCTATTGACACACTGATGGAAAGCTTTTCATGTGAAGCAGCATCAACAATAAATGTTCAGTTTGCATTACATTAAAGGAGGCTAGCTATCCTATTTAGACAAAGTTTTACAAATCAGGTAAACACCAGTGACTGTAAGATTAGTGAAGAGCAAGCACTAAGCACACAGGTGAGCACAGATCTCCTGGTTCTAGTAGAGGAGTGATATCTAAATCTTACTTATCGTCTCTCTTCAGGAAGACTCCAGCATACGGCTGAGCCAGACGAACCTTCCTCCTCAACAGCTCCATCAGTGCTTTGTTCTTTACCTGACAGACAGACAGACAGACAGACAGATACATCACGCACAGCACTTGAATACACATACTGTACATCAGAGCCTTGGTATTTGCCTGGAATAGCGGAATAGCAGAATTGCGTCTGTATATAATACAGCACCATGGAGTTAGTGCACAGAGTAACAGATGATGTGGTGATCCGCAGAAGCTGAGGGTTTACAGGGTTTCTGCTTTTTAAGAGCATTATGAAAGCAATTTAAGTCTATATTTGTCCATACTGACAAAAAAAAGTAGGGATAGACCAATCATCAGGCTTGACAATTATCAAATTCAATATTCAGTATTTTTTAAATTATTGGAATTCAACTAATCAAAATCCTATTTAAGACATGTTAAGGTTTCAAAACCCTGCAGAGCTGCACAATATGGTATATATTTAGATTTTTTTGACAGATACTGCACCACGATTCACGATTGGTGGAAATTATCATTTCTGCAGTTACATTTGTACAGATTAAAAACGAATAAAATCATGATGTAACATTTGTTGGGGTGTGTACCAAACAAATATGAAAATGTTTTTTCTTACATCTGGAGAACAAGACTTGTAGACCAGGGAATCTCTGCAGCACAACAGTACTTCATTAAGATGCTGTTTCTCACACATTTTACCTTTATCTTTTGCATAGTGCAATTTTGATAATATCGTGATTAATATTCCTAATACACAGCCATACATTTTATTTGCCTATCTTCAATAACTTTAGCACACAAGTTTCCATATTTAAAGAAACTACTTGTCAAATTTTTAGCACAGAAAGACATTGTGGGAAACATAACACTGATACATCACAGTGACATCATCAGGGTTATCTGATCAGACTTGACGCTGCTCATCCAGAGCCACAGAGCACATTATACAACTGTACAACTGAACAACTGAACTTTAACTTAAAACAGGGGTTCTATTGAAAAATATGCTCCAGCTGCATGACAGAGGTTTACAGGTTTTTTACAACTTCAAACTAAGAGTCAACGTCTCTGAAGGGACAGTCAGTAAACATATGCGCACAAACCACGTCATTTCAGTGTTAGGGACATATAAACAGTGTGCTGAGGTTGCATCATCCGTCGTCCTTGACGCCAACTGAAAGAGCGGACAGGAGGTGGAACGTTACATCATCCTCACCTCTATGATCTTGATGAAGCGGGGGAACACCGGGTTCCTGCTCACAGCGATCAGCGGCACATTGGGAAACACCTCTGGGACCATCATGGGGGTAAGGGCCGTCATCTGAGGTCCGTTATACGGCACTCCCCCATCTCCCCCAGACTCTTCTCCCCCTGAGCCTGCACTGTCCCCGCCGTCCTCCCCGGAAAAGCCTGCACCACTGGCCCGATTCCCGAACATTCGGTCCTGTATCATGAAGGGTCTGGAGGTCGGTGTGAGGAGATCGGTTTGGCCGCGGACAACGGCCCCCACCCGCATCCAGCGGTGAGACCCGGCGCTCAGCCTACAGCCAGCTGTCATCACTGCGCTGACTTGAATGTTAGGGAAGCGGTTGGGGCATGTGTTCTGTGAGGTCCCGGTGCTGCTGTAGAACCGTGGTGACTGGAGGCGGCTCGGAGTGGATGTGACGGTCTGGGGGGGCAGACCGCCGCAGGTCTTAAACGTCCCGGGCCGGTTTCGTTTGACAACAAGTGCAGAATTTCTGCTCAGCTGTCTCGCAGCGCCGAGCATCTTCAAGCAGACGGCCATGTTGATCTGGAGCTTTCTACAACATGTGACCGACCTTGTTCCGTCAACGTTTGATGACGTAGTACGGATTGCCTAACTTTTAAAGCTACAATTTTGATCTGTGTATCGAGAAGGTTCGAGAAAGATACCTTAACATCCAGTTCTTTTTCTCATTCATTTTTTCCCTTTTTTTGCTGCATGTGAGATTTCCAAAGAAACCTCTTTAACTGTATTACTCGGACAAAGATGTTGTGCCAATTTCTCCATTGAGCTAAATTCAAAAGAATCTTCCTGAGGGCAGAGTTACAGTCTGTATGTAATTCCTAATGTGTTTATTTGTGCATTTATTCCTGGTAATGTCAGCTTCTCCAAAAAATATACCACTATTAAAGGTCCAGAGTGTATTTAGTGGCATCTGTATTTGATGACCTGGGATTGAGAACAGGCTGTGAAGTGCAGAGGAGAAACTATGGTGGCTGCAAAACTCACAAAAAAGGGCCTATGTAGAGCCAGTGTAACATCAGACTAATATTAGATATGCTAGACTATCAATCCCTCCTTGAAACAGAAGGCTTTATTCTGTTCATTGATTTTTTCAAAGCATTTGACTCTATAGAACATACATTTCTGATCAAAACACTTGAAAAATTTGGGTTTGGGATTAAATTCTGTGCGATCATTAAAATGTTCTATAATGACATAATAAACTATATCTCTCTTAATCCAGGAATGCCCCCTAAAATAAAATTTCATCGAGGCATTAGACAAGGGTGTCCCATATCACCCAAACTTTTCATTTTGTGTACTCAAATATTGGCATATTTGATTGTTAATCATTCGGAAATGAAAGGGATTACCTTTTTTGACAATGAATTTCGTATCAGTCAGTTTGTCTTTGGAGGGCAACAATAAAGACTGGCATGGATAAACCAGTTTTGAAATGCCCTCAACTTCTGGACAGTATGTTTCTTCCAAAATAGAGAAGATCCTCTTAGTTAGCCAGATGATTTACGACGAGTGTTTTCTTCCCATCTCTAGTTTTTCAGAAAATTATTCTTTCCCTTAATTTGTTGTCTTTTGATTATATTTATACCCGTATTTGCGCTGTGAGGATTACGGAAGAATACGGACGATTACGTTTAAGGCCTTTTTCAATTCTATAGATTTCTTTTATCTTCGTAGAAAAAATGACTGTCTCACATCCGAGGTCCCTAGGGCAAATGGACAAAACAAGATAAACTCTCTGCTTTTCTTACCCCAACCCTGCATAGGCCCTATTCTCCGTAAACACGTGTTCCACACACTGGCAGTTTACCCTCACTGCAACGTCACCACTGGAACAGCTGTCCCACACACTGCGGATCCCAGTCCTTATAGACCTTTTGGCCCACTAGTAATATACTGGTCTTCACAGAACAACTATCCGCTCTTCTTTAATGGCCATTTGTCGAACTGTTCTTTAATCTATTTATAAAAAGCACTAACCTAAGGAGAGGAGTCAAATCCTCATGGCAAGGAAGAGATATACATAAAATCTGCAGACAATTCCTAAGCAAATTTGTCAACCAGCAGGAACCCAGGGAACTCATCTGCACAACCACACCATGCAACCTTACTTGCAATTGGATGCGTCAACTTCTTTGGTACTCCCAGCTTCAATTAGCACCTCTGACACACAGCAACTGCAATTGTGGTTTCAAACGGACCCCTTTACCTAATGAAGATTTGGATTCTTAGTTTACTGGTTGTCCTTGTCTGGAAGAAGAGTGCCCTTGGAACGTATGCTTGCCATCCGGGTCACGGCACCCATTCCTGTTGAAGAAAAATAATTCATTCCAGTCCCAGTTCAGGTTG